GCCCATCGTTGGATTTGGCACTTGGCGTGTAAGAAATTTAAAAAAAATATTAAGAAACATGGCTACTATACTACGGATAGATAACTTAAATAACCAACAAAATTTTGTTGGTTTATATCCTCAAAATATCTCATCCATACATAATAAGTGAGAAAGTCGATGCAATATACTATGTGTGTACTTATGTATGTGTATGTCCATGTCTTTCACCGCCACTAAACTTTTGCATATGGCATTGAGACTGCATTGTAGCGAAAGCTTATGGCCAATCGCACGTGCAACAAAAAAGCTGCAATCGATTTTCAATGTCACTGCAATGCTTTATTCTTTGTTTTTGTATTTTTATTTTTTATTTTTTATTTTTTTTTGTAGATGCCAGCCGGTCAGGTAACGCACTTAGTAAAGCAGGCCATCGATGTGGGTTACCGGCATATAGACTGTGCGGACATTTATGGCAATCAGAGAGATGTGGGCTGCGCGATTGCAGAGAAAATCAAAGAGGGTATAGTGGAGAGGTAGAAATTCGACTTATGTATTAACCTGTCCTTTTTTGTTATACATATTGAAAATCCACCTTTTAGAAAAGATCTTTTCATCACAGGCAAGTTGTGGAATACTAAACACGATCCTAAACTGGTACGAAGTGCCTGTGAAAATGCCTTGAATATGTTAGGAATCTCCTCTTTCGACAATTACCTCATCCATTGGCCAACTGGCTTCGCCGACAGCGAAGAGAATTACCCTAAAGATGAGAAAGGCAAAACCATATTTTCTGACGTTGATTATGTGGATACATGGCATGCCTTGGAGGATTTGGTAGATGTTGGCCTTTGTCGAACGATAGGCTTATCAAACTTTAATATTGAACAAATAACACGCGTACTTGACGCGGCGCGTATAAAACCCGCCAATTTGCAGGTGGAATGCCATCCATATTTGAATCAAAGCAAATTGATAGATTTCTGCCGTCAAACTAATATTGTGGTAACAGCTTATAGTCCTTTAGGATCACCACATTCACCATATGAGAAGCCAGGGTCACATAAGCTTATGCAGCATCCGTTAATCCTGCAATTGGCAGAGAAGTATCAAAGAGCTCCAGCGCTGGTGTTGCTACGGTATCAGGTACAGCGTGGCATTGCTGTGGTAACTATGTCCACAAGTCGTGAACACATGGCGGCTAATCTCAATGTATGTGATTTTGAGCTAAATAAAGCGGAAATTCAGGAGATTAACGGCCTTGATTTTAACGGACGCTATAACCTAATGCAGAAGTAAATATGTATCTAAAGCAGAATTAATAGAAAATGTAGTAAATATATTTTTATTTTATACAGCGCAAAAGGGCATCCCCACCACCCGTTTGAAAATTAACACAATAAAGAAGGCTGTTGAATGGAATTTTTGGAAAATTTAAACAATATTTGTATGTATATGTGTGTGTATGTAAATACATTAGGGTGGTCCAAAAATGCATGTGAAATAGTTAAGTCGGAATTTTTATGCTCTCACCCCCTAGGATCTGTCTATACTGAAAAAAATATTTCCTCATATTTTTATTTTGAAATCAAAAAATATTTAGAGTTCGCTCAAAGCACTCAAAGTGTTCCATGTATTTTATATGGGAAAAACAACTTTTCGTAGAAATGGTAAAGAATTCCTAAAAATCAATAATTTTCGATCGGAAAACTCTGTTTCTGTGCAGGAGATTCCCGATAATAATACCCAACTATGATACTCGAAAACTATGATTTCTATAGATTTTTGCACAGGCTATGGTGCTATGCGTTTTTCAAAATTTGCCCATTTCCATGGTGGAAATTCGAAACAAAAATTCGAAATATCGTTTTTAGTTATCTCAATCGAAACATTAGCAGGTCTTTTCACATAGAATTCATTAATTCATTATTTTTCCGAGCTTTAAAACGTTTTAGAGCGCGCTAAAAACGTCGCGGCGCTCCGCCACGTCGAGTCGGCTCCGCCCTACAAAACAAATTAAGCTTTGTTAGCCCTCGACTTGTTTCTTATAGGTTTACAGGTAAGTAAATAGCCTAGAAAACGTGAAACCAGAGTACTCAGAGTTATGTTGCTCATACGGCATATTCGTCTACATGCTTTATTACTCATACGACCTGTCGGCTTGCCTTAAATATTTATTGCAAGCTATCTTAAAAATAACAAACTCCTTTCGAGGGCTTTTATTCAATACACTCTATCTCCAATTTTCATAAAATTGTCTTTCTAATATTTGAGACCTTCTGTGATTTAACTTTAAACTCCGATATTATTTCTTGCATACTGTGGGCTTCCAAATCATTAAATTGGACCAAAGTCAAAAGGATGCATCAAGCTTCCTATGAAAAATGCTCACGAGGAGCATTGGGGCAATTTTGTCATCCACAAAATAGTCATACGTATGTATGTATGTACATATGTACATATCTATACTCGACAATTTATAGGTGGCAGTGATTGCTAATATCTTATTTGGGCCCCTCACATTATATTAATCCCTATATCTATCCCTTATATTGTTACCTTAATTCACAAAGGACTTATATGACATTTACATTGGACCAAAATGCGTGATTTGAAATCAGTCATTTGAGGGTGTTTACACTGTTTGATTCGCATTTCCTTTGGCTTCTCATCAATTGAAAAGGGAAAACCAAAACAATATGAATGTAAACAAACACTGCATTCCTTATATTTTTTAACACGTTTTGGTCACAAAAGAGGTAATTATTCTTTGATTAAACGAAAATTTTGCAATGTTATGTATAAATTAATAATTTGTATACCCACATATCAAAGACTTTTTCATTTTGTTGTGTTTGTTTTGATTTGAAAAATGAACAAAACTTACTTTTTTATATGGAAAATAATGCGCAAAACCCTCCACAAAAAAAAAATCTAAAAATCGATGGTAAATGAGCTATAAAAGTCGAAATCTTTCTAGCAAATTTAATTAAATAAATCGAAATTTTGATAAACATTTTTTTAATTTTAATTCGTTTTTTGTGAACTTTGTGCAAGCTATGAAATTTTTATTTATGTGGTATCTGATATATGTAGATCGACCCATATTTTAAATGAAAATTATTGACAATAAATAAAATTAAGTTCCAACAGCATCATTTTGAGTTTTGCTGCTACTATTTTGAGCGCAATTGTGTCTCTTACTTTGTTTTTATGGTTTTGTCAATTATATGTCTGCGTACATGTATATTTTTGTATAAATTAAAAAGTGTTTTCATGAAATATAGGAACTGTATCATAAGTTTATAACTAATCTGGACATTACTTCGTTGAAATGGATCATCTTTGTTAATGTATGGTTCGTAGTTGAGCTTTTAAAGCAAATACTTTATTTCTCATTGGTCCTGTTAAATTTTTGTAAATCCCGTATTTTTGGGACAAATTATTCGTTTGTCCCGTATGATTGGAAAAACATATGGCAACACTAGCCTCAAGGTAGTGGTCTAAGTCGATAGGGCTGTTCAGGATGTTGTGGAAATGGTCTTGGATTTACATTTGGAATTGCATTTGCAAATTTTATACTTGCTGCCATGGCAACCGTGTGCATTTTATTGTTGTGAATTTAAAAAGCAACGAACATGCAAATGCAACAGCATATGCAAAATATCCTGAATAGCCCTGATGTTTCGCCCTCGGATCGTACATACGTCAGAAATATTGAAAGAGTGCCTTCCGTCTATTATAACATGTTCGCTTTGCTTTATCGATCTGGATGCAGCCTGATCAATTATTATATATCTGAATCTAGGGTTGCAGACTAGAATGTTTTAGGCCCCAGCCAAATTATTTAGCCTCAGGTCGTTATGGGACGTTTCGAGGTGGAGGTCGCTTGCTTGCTCATCCCGGCATTGAAATCGCATAGAAAGAATTTGATTTCCCGACGGGGACAGCGCTCGCAGGTGCACTAAATATAAGCGCTCATAGAAAATACTTTTGTACACTTTGTCCTTCTTTTCCATCGATTGTGGCGAGACTCTCGTCCACCGGGATGAACGGCGTTATACTTGGCAACGAAGTGTCTTTCCCACCACAAATCTAACACAGAATTTTCGCTTCTTTACTTGGCAGCTGTAGTAATACGTCGCAAGGTCCTGCGCTTATGTTTCCATATCCCCTTCATTGGATTTTCTGCTTGGCGCGGATTTCAGGATTAGCCTTTACGGAACGTCAGCCAGCGACAGATGCTCCTTTTCCATTAATGGTCCAACCAACCACCCCTCAAATCATAGCTTGACGGCAGTTCGCTCGAAAAAGAAACAACAAAAAACTGGCGCGCTTATTTGAACTCGTCCAAAATCGACTAGACGGTTACGGCGCCCAACAAGAAGATGAGGAAGTATATGTCTGAACATACTTATATGTGTACATACGTACATATCTTTTAGCTTTAGGTTACTTCTTCGCTGGTTACATGTATCTGAAATATTTAGTACACTTTAATAAAAAAATCTTTTTAAATAGCACTATATTCGCTAATTTTTATCGTAAGTAAACATTTTATACATTCACTTGTGATGTTAAAATTTTACTATTATTTTATTCCAATGATATGACATTATAACATATGTAGATATTAGTCAAAGAAAAATCATCAAAAATATTACTAAGAAAATTAACAATTTCCGAATTTGCGTTAACATAGAAAAACGCACTTCGATCGGAGTTTGGCTGTAAAATCTCAAGTATTCACAGTTCTATCAAGCCTGGGCTAGGAAAAAATAATGTACGCGCCCTGTGTAAAAACTTGTCTCCGCGAAAATCGCCTTCGAAGTCCGCTTGCTAGAACTGTGCAATTTAACAACGGCGTTAAAATGCCAATCATTGGATTGAACACTAATGGGGTAAGAATTAAAGAAATATGCTACAACAGTCAGCAGAATTTTTTCTTTTTTATTGCTGATAGTTGGAGGCCCATATTGCAACTCGTGTTACAAAAGATGCTATCGAAAGTGGTTATCGACACATAGATTGTTCGCCAACTTTTTGCAATCAAGAGGAAGTGGGAAAGGGCATTAGAGAGAAAATTGACGAAGGCTTCATAAAACGGTATGTGGAAATTTAAATCTACATATGTACTCTGAACCGCCCCTCCCCCCTCTATTTAATCATCTTGCATTCAGAGAGCAACTGTACATATCCAGCAAACTTTGGAATACGCGACATCATCCGAAATTCGTACGCCCAGCACTGGAAGAAACACTGAAACAATTGAAACTCGATTTTTTGGATAATTATGTTATTCAAACTCCGATGGGTTTTAAAGATGGTTTCGTAGACTATCCGCGCAACACAAGAGGTGAAATAATGTATTCTGATGTCGACTATGTAGATACTTGGGCTGCAATGGAGGCCTTAGTTGATAAGGGTCTCGTACGATCGATTGGTTTGGCCAATTTCAATGCAGAGCAAATCGAACGCATACTTGAAGTGGCCCGCATACCACCAGCCAATTTACAAGTCGAATGTCACCCTTATTTGACACAAAATAAGCTAATGGACCTATGTTGTAAGCATAAAATAGTTTTCATGGCTTACGGGCCAACAGGGCCAAGAACAGGAGTCGATAATATCGTCCCACTCCTGAAACATCCACTAATTTTATGTTTGGCAAACAAATATGAGAAAACACCTACTGAAATTTTAATCCGCTATCAAGTACAGCGCGGCAATGCTGTATTGATAAGAACAACTTGTCTGAACCACATGGATAATAATTTGACGGTTGAAAGTTTCCAATTAAGTCGAGAAGATCTGGAAAAACTTCATTTAATGAATTGCAACATTCGCAGAGAAACCTTGTCAAAGTAAGTTGTAATAATTATGTTATAATCGAGATCTTGGAAAAAACATTTTTGAAGTGAAACTTCATTGCGTTCGGTTGGGAGTAAATGCAAACATCGATGTAAAAAAAAAACGACACACTAATTGGGATCTAATTCCAAACAAAAAATCGCCAGAAGAAGGTAGGGGATGGCGGTGGTGGTTGGTCACGATTAAGATCAAGATGTGGATTTAGATTGAGGTTGAGATTAATAGCCCAATTCTGTATCGGTTACAAAAAATTTTTTACTGATAAATTTAAACCTTTTCATATATTTTCCATAAAAAATACTGTGGAAAGAATTTGTCACTGATAGAGAGGCTGCGTTTCTTTATGCATTCCAGATAATCCCGTTTCACAATCAGAATAAACAGAATGTGTTTGAAATATACGTTAACATATCATCAGAAACGTTCTAAAGAATAAGTAAACAAAAAAGTCTATTCCAAACGTTCTGAACGAATAAAAAATGCAGCCTGAATAGAGAAGTAAAATAACTTTTCATTACCATGCAGAAAAATACTCACATAATACTCGAAGGCATTTTTGTTAATGTCATCAGATCTCTTCCGGTCGTTCGA